GTTCAATTGGTTCCAACCCAAGCTTTTCAGGCTTTCCATCTGCCGGTCGTGTATTTCAGTGACCGCAACGCCCAGGTATTGGGCCTCTTCTCGGTTGGCGAAGTTGAGGCCTACCTGTCCGTCCGGTGTCGAGAAGGTATGGAAGTTGGGTTTCACCACTTTGTATTGGATGGTGTGATACAACTCCTGTTCAAACGCCAACACCTTTTGCTGCATATCGTACACTCGGATCCAATAGGACTGAGAGCCGGTGTCCATCACGAGACACACCACTCCTATCAACGAAACTATTCAATTGAAAATGTATTTTTAAAAATAATTTTTTCAAATGTAAATAAAATAAAAACTAAAAAATTTCTGCGAATTCTGTTGATATAGAAATTTTAGTATAATACTTACAATACTAAGTAAATACAAAAGTAAATATTGGGTTAAATTTACTGAAAGTGCCATAAATAAATTTTATAGTTTTATGAAATTTCACATGAAAAAATACTTGAAATTGAAAAATTATTTGCTATAAACATTATTTCATATCATATTTAAGTCAATAATAATTATCAACTAAATTCCTGTTAATCAAGCATCATTTTAACTAATATTATATGTTTTTCATAAACGGCTTTAATGTTTTAAAATTAAATTATTATAAAAATATATACGATTTATAATTGATTTAAAATTATGTCTAATAATAATTACATGTTTTAAGAATATTATTGAGATCTTCACGACTACAGGCAGTCGGCAGACAAATACCAATAGTGGGGGTTAAGTGTAAGCTCTCGATATCCAATGCCTATTAAATGTATAGAAAATGACTTTATAAGTGGATGAATTACATTAATTACATTAACAAAAGGCTAAGATTTATATGTTGTATTTTTCTATCAATTTAAACTGGATCTATTTACTTGATTTTTGGATGATCGTCGGCCAACCACCGCTTCCATGGGTAGGTTTAGCGTACAATATTGACCGGTAATGCCATGTATTTTCTGGTCCCCTTCTAATGTCACCTTTACATCGAGACATTCATCAAAGTCTCCCATAAACTGGTAGTTCCCTTTGGCCAGACCTGCACCCACTACACCACTCGCATCAATCACTAGTCCATACAAATGGGGTAACCATTCATTAGAGTTATTGTGTTTCACATTATAATAAAAATTCAATTTTATTGAATTAATATATTTTTTAAATATTGTGATGAAATTTAATATTATTGTATATTTTAGTGTATTATTAATTTGAAATTAAAACAACTTTTTGTGACATTTTTGATGTGAAAAATTGAAACAATTTTTCATAAATGAATAATAAATTGTGTGTCAGTTTTCTCGTATTAATTAGATGTATTTTTAATACATTAATGATATTGAAAATGTGAAATAATAGTATACAAACATTTCGTATTTACTGAAAAGTGGGTTAAATATAAGATAATATTTACAATACTATATATTACATTACTATTTTATCATTTATTTATTTAATATATCATTTACTGTAAATAAAATGCTAAAAACTACTTTCTATTTCTGTAATCAATAAATAAAACCCAGAGTAAATAAATATATAAATTTATTTATTAAAAAATTCCTAAAATATATTTAAATTCTGGTATAAGAATATAGCAATTATTATTTGAATAGACAAAACCCTCATTTGTATTCAAGAATATTCTAGTATGCATACTTTGAATAAACATAAAAACTTTTCAAATAAGTACCAGAATGAATTCCAAAGGATTTTCAAGAATTAATTAATACTTGAAACTTGATACTTGATACTTACTTGATACTTACTTGATACTTAGTAAATAAAAACTAATAAGACTTACATTTGAGAGCCCAGTCCTCGTTTTGATGAGCGCTCACATAGTTTGCAACGGTTTTACACTCGAGACTAATGTCTGATTCATTAAAATACATAAAGAATTGTCGCGCGAAGAAGTGGTTGGCATATATGGGACTCAATGGTTCACAACTAATAAACTCAAAGTAAAACAAACTATAAATTAGAGCAACTTTTGCAAAAACTTTCAAAAACATAATCGATGTTAACGTTGAGAACAGGTATATGTTTAGGAGAGTATAGCAAAAAGAGGAAAACCCCTTTATGTGACTGTTTTCTACAAATAAAATATCATTTAATTGAATGATAGTGTAATACTAACCCGTTTTTATATGTATGACATTCTGTAGCTGAAGCTGATTATACAGTAAAGTGAAAGCCATTGATTAGATAACAAATAAATAGATATTTTATAATATGTTTTTTACACACGTTATTCTGTATTGAATTTTATTGCAGTACTTCTGCAATATTCTTATAACTGGTTGCTAGCAATAGGGTTGCCACCAGTGTATGTGAACAAAATATTACCTTGGTTTTTCTGATTAGTTATAGAGAATAAATATACGGTAATTTTTTAATTATTTAAAAAATATTCAATTGTGTAGTTTTATTTTATTGAACATTTGTTCATTTAAATTATGTACAAATTATAATAATATGAATATATTTATTTTTTATAAAGTTTCAGATATAAATAATTTGTTGTATAATAAATCTTGGTGCTAATAAGACAATTATATGATAAGTTTAGTTAGGGTCAATTAGCTATGTGCTTGTCAATTACTAGCATAGTCCTCATAGTCCTAAAATATTTCAATATGTATCCTGATAGAATATAAATATTTTTATTAGTAAAATTAAAATTGATTTTAATTGTAAAAATTTGTCCCGATTTTCACGATACAAGCAAGTCAAAAATGTTCATGAAGTGAACCTGAACTTCATTAACATTTTACTGTTAAAATCAAATGATTAGACAAATAGCATAACACTTCACATACTATACACAGCTTTTCATAAAAAAAATATATGACTTCATAGGAGGGATTTATATCTGTGTATGAATTGTGCAAACATTACATTATATCCTATTCTACCTACAAATACCGTCTCAATGAACCCCATTATTATCTGTCATTCATGTAGTTTTCAATGAAGTCATTTATCCTACTTTTGCTTTTTGCTATGAATTGAAAGTCAATTACATTTCAAATAATAAGACTATTATTTTTGTTATAAAGATATTCTTTGCACTAATACTGGTGCTTTTTGTCCTTTGAAATTAAATCACGTATTCATTAGTTTATTGACCGACAATTGTCTGTAATTATGGGTACAGTTATTGCAAAATAAAGTTGTTTTTAAAGTAAAATCAAAGAATTATTTCTATAATTAAATGCATTTATTTTACTGTAATTTAAACAATTTTTGGCCTAAATATTATAAATTAATAATTGTTAAATTATAAAGTAGTGTATTAATTAGATATTAAAAATTTTAATTTGTGGATAAATATGTTTAGCAAAATTATTATTGAAATTCAATAAACACTATAATTCCAACAATATTAGCCAGTTCATCTGTTAACAGGTATTTTCTAAACTTAATTTATGCTTTTCGTAACTCATGTTTTAAATTGTTAAACACAAAGTTGATAAAGATTTTTAATTTTTTGCAATTCATTCAATAAGTAGTTTTTGAAAAAAAATTTCATAATTTATTGTAATATTAATTTTATTATAATTATAAATTATAAGTATTTTTGATCTAAAGAATTTAATTATGAATCTATTTTTGTTTCGTAATACAACAAAAAATATAATTAAATATTTTATTTTAGTCATTTCAACATAAAATGTATCCATTTTATACACACCAGGAATTAACACATAGATAACTCAAATGTATTTATAAAAATATAATTAATAATATAAACATTTAATTTTAATATTAATTTACATAAACAATTAAAATAAAAAATTTTGATATGTCTGTGAAATATTAATTAATATTGAAATATAATTATCAAATTGTTTATATATTCTTAATATCATACATAAGAAACAAATCATTAACCCAGAACATTCTCAGATGTTATTTAAACAAATTTTAATTAATAAAAAGAATTATTATTTGTGTCTGAATTCACCAATTATTCTGTAATTCATGACATAGTTTGTACTTTTCAAGAATTAATACTATGAACGACAATGAACTCAATGGATAGATAAATGCCTCAAACAAACAAATTCAATGCCAACCATCATTTCAATGTTAGTTTGCTTTTATTTATCCGTAAAAACTGATTACTGATATTCAATTCGCTATTGAATAGACTGATTAGTTAAAACTGAACTATCAATTATAGTATAGAAATATTCTTTAACTTTCATATATATTGGCACTCATCCATACACTATATTATTGCAAAAGTCCTCAATGTCTAAATACTTGATTCAAAGTTATATTAATACTGTACTATTGATTTAATTGTATGACTTTGTATGTATACAATAAATGGATTCAATATATTTTTAATTTAAGACTTTATTAATACAAAGAAATTCTTTAGAAATAATTCTTCAAGTTTCCCATAACAAGGAAATATACCATTTTTGTAATTATCGGTCAATCTTGATGTCTGCCAATACTAATACACATTTACAGTACTATGCCATTGAAAACGAGTGCTTACATGTGCTCACAGACAACCATTGTGTCAATGAACCAGAATCTGTGTACTAACTTATATCAGGTGTATATTTTATACCAAACACTTTATATTTGATGTAAATTTAATTTTATTGAATATCTTGGCCAAGAATTAATATAATTACGGTATTACAAAATAAAAATGTAACACTCATAAAAAAATCTTCCGCAAAATTTACTGAAACACTTTTATTTTGTTTAAATGGTTTTGACTAATTCCTAGCGATATAGGTGTTAATGACAACTGTTTTGACCACTTATTATACTTAACGCTTGTTATATACCTATTCTAAGTTGTCATAATTCTGTTCCCCATACTGTTCCCCATTCTGTTCCCCATACTGTTCCCCAGATTGTTCCCCATATTGGTCTCCATACTGTTCCCAATACTGTTCCCCATCCATATCCGGTTGAATTTCTTCATTTGACTGAACACTCAATTGTGAAACCAATGAGTCCTTTGATCCCCTTTTCGCTACACCCTTCTGAGCGGTGGCCACACTCGATGCTGGTGCCGGTGGTAGTGATGCCTTTCTCGATGGCTTCCTCTCTGCCTTATACGGGGTATAATTGTATGAGTCATGAGCGGCCGGGTCTTTATTGAAGTCCACCTTTTTCTCGTGGGTGCCCTCTGTCTGGAGGGCCTCCTCTCTCTCTTTGGCTTCTCTCCTTTGCTTCATTTTGTCGAACAGAGCCATCCCCCCAACCCCTGGTTTAGGTGGGGGTGTAATGGGAACGGATCTATTAAACAGCGCCCCTTGTTTGCCTTCTGGGGTCAATTCGTATGGGACGGGCTGACCGGCAACGGGAGAGCGATGCGATGGCACAGGGGGTGGGAGTCTCAGACCTCTGCGGCGCGGAGGCGTCAGTGCCCTGTTGGCGGTCTTGAGCGCCGCCGCCCGCCCGTTGTCGTGGACTACGGCGTCGTATTTGCCATTCTTCTCAATGAAGTCCAGTATGAAGTTCATGGTCTGGGCGTCGAAAGTCATCTGCCGGGCGCCGGCCCTCTCGATGAATGTCTTGAAGTCTTTGGTGACTCTATAGGCGTCGTACCGGTTGTTCAATTGGTTCCAACCCAAGCTTTTCAGGCTTTCCATCTGCCGGTCGTGTATTTCAGTGACCGCAACGCCCAGGTATTGGGCCTCTTCTCGGTTGGCGAAGTTGAGGCCTACCTGTCCGTCCGGTGTCGAGAAGGTATGGAAGTTGGGTTTCACCACTTTGTATTGGATGGTGTGATACAACTCCTGTTCAAACGCCAACACCTTTTGCTGCATATCGTACACTCGGATCCAATAGGACTGAGAGCCGGTGTCCATCACGAGACACACCACTCCTGTCAACACTTTTCTCCATTTCTTATACTTCGGTAGTCGACTCCTATGGAGTGCGGCCACAGTTGTGGACACGGGTTGACAGCCCTCTCCCAACATATCATTGACGGCCAAACACTCTGAATAAGACAATAGTTTGGAACTACACTTCAGCCCAGGTATAGGTGTCATTTTGAGTGTCAACAGTTTGTTTAGATTTCTATTATGCTTGAAATAATAACAATTAGTTTTCATCAATTTTAAATTGTATTTAAATTACACGATTGTGTGATAAATAAGTCAAAAGTCAAGTAAATCCGTTAGAAATGAGAGTTCAGTCAAACCTGTTAACTAATTCCGAGAATGGATTGGTGGGCAAACTGTTGGGAAAGGGATGCGAGTCGTGGGCGACAACTATCGCTCAACTGTACCGAAGTCGAGCCCCACATCACAAGAAATGGTATGAAGGGCTGATAGGAGTGGTATGTCTGGTGCAGGACTTCAACACAAAATCTTTTTGGATCCGAGTCTACGATATGGACAAAAGACAAATGGCTTTCCAACAACAGTTGTATCACACGATTAGATACAAGTCCGTTCGGCCGGCTTTCCATACGTTTAGCGCACCGGACGATCCGGTAGGCCTGAACTTCGCCGACCTATTAGAAGCCGATTACTTCGCCAAAGCTGTCGATTACATCAAAAAGGCACAAATGGCTCGACTCAAGGAATTGGGTTGGAATGAGACGGCCGGGTATGACGAGAAGAAAGCGCCCAACCATTTGAAAACATTTCTCGAGAGGGCCGGCGCTCAACAAATAGCTAACGATAAAGAGTCCATGAATTTCATAATGGATTTCATTGAAAAGAATGGAAAAATTGATGCCATNCCGGGTATGACGAGAAGAAAGCGCCCAACCATTTGAAAACATTTCTCGAGAGGGCCGGCGCTCAACAAATAGCTAACGATAAAGAGTCCATGAATTTCATAATGGATTTCATTGAAAAGAATGGAAAAATTGATGCCATTATTATGGATAATAATGCGGCCG